ATTACAATTCCACACTCATAAATAGTTACATCTTTCCTTCAGATTTGTTGCTAAAGATAATGACCAAGCAAAAAAGTTTGGAAAGCTTGAGTATCAAAGTTTTACATAATTTGCCACTTCAGAACTTGTGAATGGATTTTCTCCAACCAGAGAAAAATGATGCACACTGGACTAGTACTATATTTTTTAAAACGAATTAGAAGTTGTAATTATATTAAATATAAAGCAACTATACTATCTAAGAATCTATTATTATATTATTGAGTAGTACAGTTTTAGTAACTTGAAACTTCATTCTTATAAGTATATTTCATATTTGTATTATGATTACTATTATTAACTCTACTAGTTTACTGTTACTTTTTTTGAAACAACTAGTTTACAGTTACTTAATTCTTAGTTTAATTCTATTTAGCAAAGATTATTTAAAAATCATTACAAATAGTTTTGTAAGTTCACTTATTAGATCATTGAAGTATTCTGTACTAATTTTAAAAATTTCTCATAATGATTGTGTAACTCAATCAACTCCTAGGTGTGATACCTAAGAACCCCATGTGTGATATCTAAGTTTTTCCCCAAATTCTTAGTGGGCAAATTGATCCTAATTTGGCCTACATTATCACCAAACCATTCCTGCAACACAAGCACAAATCTATGACAACTAGAGAAGGCAAATTTGAACCAAGACAGACAACCTAACAAAACTTGGTCTAATCGACTCCTTCCTTGCCTAGTGCTTGGCCAAAATTGCATATTATCCTTGAACAATACAGGCCAACCTCACATAGAGAAGAAAGCAGCCACCACCCCCATTTGACTTCAAACCTCCAAAGAAAATCAGAGACCTCCCCTCCTCTTCACTCTTAACTCTAAGAAGCTACCCCTACAGTTCCTGCCTCACCACAAAAGTAATATCCTTGCTCCTACCTAAAAAGGCGTCTCCAAGATTTTAAGCCAAATCACGATATCAACTCGCAAAGATAGTTGAAGAACTGAGCAATCTCAGCACCAAACAAGCAAACAATGCGCCTTCTACCTCTCCCATTTTCAGAAAACTAAGCTTATCGGTGTTGATCCCCTCAAGGACCATGAAAAAAGATTTTCTGTCTATCACCAACAGCTTCCGTGGTGATAGGAGAAAAATGGCCCTTAGCAAAGCCCTGGGCCATGCCAGAGGATACTAGGCAAGAGGACGGAGAGAAAAGAGAGAAAAAGGCTCTTTAGAGCGACAAAACTTAACCTAGATCCAGAAAGATTACCACTGAGGTTGACTCGTGTATTGCATGTGGCAAAATAATTGATGAAGACATAAAATGCTCCCAAATACACATGGAGACACAAACTTAAACAGATTTTTTTGGTAAGCCCTGGCTCTACCACTCATCGTCACTATTTTTGGAAAGAGGATAATACTCAAGCAAGAAAATAACATTCCTCTATCGTGTCAGGATATGGCTCTCCTTTTCATTGGAACTGTTATTCTATCTAGCATAAGAGAATCACCGAAATAGTTTTCCACACTGGAATAATATTTCCAGAAAAACTCATCAAGTCTATTTTTCTAAATGCCAATGTTTATAAGATTTTCAATAATGATAGAAATATGCACCATAATTTTGAACCCAATATGAAATTTTTTTCCTTAATTAGAGGAGTGAAAACAAAAACATGGGGGGAACTTTTCAGAAAACTGCAGGACAAATTACAGTACATTGTATACTTAGAGATTCACGATAAATTTAGGAATTCTTCAGTACCATACCTAAGAATTGAGATAAAATACCAGAAAACTAATAATGAATAATACCTAGGATCCATTAAGCCTCACCTAAGGTGAGAGTTTCTCAAGCATCAGACTAAGATTTGATTGCAGGTTCAGTGAGAGAAGAAACTTGAGTGCAGAAGGGTGTTAGAGGTGGGTGGAAGCAAGTGGACATAATACCAGTCTCTATCTTCTAGGTGGTTTGGAAGGAGAGAAATATGATGGATTTTGATGGAGTTGTGAATGTAAATGATTTTGATATCCATAAATATAGATAGTTTCAGATTCTTAGTTTTTTGTTATGGAGTCATCCTCTTTATTTTATGGAGGATTTAGCGGAAATTATTGATATGTCGATTGACTCGTAAATTTTGAACATGGGTATATTCACTTTTTTTTTGAAATAACTATATCAATATAATTCACATTTTATATTTAAAAAAAATAACAGATTTGATTGCATCACATCACCAATGTATTGAGAAAACTCTCAAGATAATCTATTTATTAAGGCTTGATCTCAAAACTAAAGTTACAAGGTTTCTATATTATATTTTTTTTTAAAAAAAGAACAAGGTTTCTAGATTGGCTCAAATTAAAATTTTTAGATTAGTTAAATTTAAAATCCTAATACTACAACGAAAAGAAACCTCTTGAGAAAACTTAAAATTAAAATTTTTAAAACCATAAGTAAGACCTTAACACTACTAAAATTATAACAATAGAATCTTAAGATAATAATCCTTGAACTGATAACCATCTTACCGCTAACCTTCTATTATTCTAAAGAAATGACAATTCCTAATCTATTATTCTAAGGTTAATCCATTCTGGACCAGAACAGGAATGACAATCCCTATCAGGTGATTATTACAGTTCAACATCCCACCCCACATGGAGGAGGAAAACGGTGTGAAGTTTTGGAAGACAGCTTAAAAAAATATATAAACCAAGAAGCAAGTCCAAGTATCTTTTGCTCTAGTTTACAGTTTCCTAGGAATTATTGATAAAGATAATGTCGAAGAAATGTGTAAGACCTAATCTTATTAAAATGGAAAAACACTGTGCATGCAATAGAATAACATGAACCAACCGCCATCAGATTCTAAATGCATGAATATAGTACCTGTATCCCAAATTGCAAGCTTCAGCTTTTTCCCCCCAGCATCAACATATTTTACTTTAAAATCAACACCTGATAATGAAGCAAGAAAAGAGGCACAAGAATAAACCAGGATATCAAGGAAAAGGCTATGGAAATCAACAGATTCAGGTTAAATGGTACAACATAATTCTTGTTCTCCAATTAAAGCAGAGAATTTCTTCCTAAATTAATTAAAAAAAAGAAGCCTCAAAATTTTATATTTGGTTGATCAGGGAAGACAAGGTCAATACTGACAGACAGAATGCCTACAGACTATAGCTTATGATGTTCGATCCTTTTGCATCGTAGCAAGCTGATGAAAACGTATGAAATTTATGGAAGTTGTGCTATCCAGTCCAACTAAATCTGCATACTGCAGTTATAAAAACCAAGTTCATTCCTCACACAGAAAAATCACATCAATTTCCAGTGAGTCTCCCTTCTGTTGCAAAAACTAGGAGCAACAAGTTATAACTTTGAACCAAAATATCAGTATTTGGGTCCAATACAAGGCATAGCATGCATAGAGAAATATAGCCATTTAATACTTTATTAAGATAGCAATGAACCAAAAATGCATATTCATAACTTATAATTGAATCAAAAAAAAAAAAAAAAAAGAAATTCGTGACTACCAATAGAATTATTCTTTCCAAATCCAGACATAAAGCTCAAGACAACAGGCATTAAACTACAACATCATAAGAGATTCGTGAGTGTACAATTTGCATAGCCACTAACCAATTGTTGGCGAAAGGTCATCAAATGTATCAGAAGTAAAACTCAAAAGCAGGCTACTCTTGCCAACACCGGAATCACCAATCATCAACAACTTGAACAGATAATCAAATTCAGGTTGACTTGAAGATGCTTCCATTTGAATCCAACTCCCTCAGGATCCAACCTTACACAGAAAAAACTACACAACACCACCACCACCACCACCAGGAGTCTAGTGCAGTTTACCAAAGCCTGCGCAAACAAAAATGACATTAACACCAAATCGCAATACAAGAAAGAACGCATTATCTTCACATTTATAACACATAAAGGCGAATGCATCTGATAACAGAGATTTAAGTTAGCGCATGTGCAAATGATTAATGTCCACCGAACGAATCAGGATCCTAATTCAATTATCCAAAAACAAGCATTGAATATTGCCGGAATAAATTTGAATCTTGTTTCTTTCGAAACCAAGAATAACCTTTGGGATTCTAATTTTAACTCTATGATAATCACACATCAAATATATAAACAAACTATCCGATCAAGGCCACCGATTGTCATATAAACAGATTCATATATATACACATATAGAGAGAGAGAGAGAGAGAGAGAGAGAGAATACCTAAAAATTGTATGAAATGTAACAGAGATTTGTGAAGAAGAAACGAGAGCAACAGAGATTTGCAGAGGAGAGAGAGAGAGAAACATACTTTTTTATTTTTTATTATTAAAGAATAAATGAAAACGGGAGTCAAATGTGAAGGAGGAGAAGGAAACTATTAAAGGCGAAGGGTAAATTCGTAATTGTAATGAAATAGCTTTTACGTTTGGGCTTGGGCGCGTGGGCTTGTTTGGGCGTCCGTGTGTTTGGATATAATTTTTAAAAATTTATTTACAAATCATATTAAAAGAATTTAATTTATTCCAAATATGAGAAATTTTTTTTGTTTTTGTTAAATTTAAAATTTTATTTTCTGTTTGTCATAATTTGAAAAAGAAATACAAAATATTTCAGACTAAAAAAAAATATGAATGCCATGCTGGATTTGTAGATTTTCTTTTTAAAGAATCGAAAATCCAATCCGCATGAGTTGATAAGCTAAAGTCAAGATGCTCGGTGTGACTTTCACGAAACCTCTTTTTCTGTGGATATTAATTATTTATATTATGTATCATAAGATAATATTTAATCAATTATACATTTACCTTTTAAGATAAATACATAATAAATAAAAGTATAATTATTCCCTAACTGAATGACTGTTATTTTCGATAAATATAGGTTAGAATTCTCATTTAATTTTATTTGAAAATTTTTATTATAATTAGTATATAAATTGTGATTTAATTAATAAAATGAATAGATTTTTATTAAATAATGACTGGTTACCTACTTTACTTGCCCCATCTTCAAATGTATACCATTTGTTTTTTGTTGACAAGTGGCAACCTTTTCATCTGAGAATGCCAGCACTGTTCTGATTCTCCAAACCAACTTTAAATTTTTAATCCATTTGACACATAAAACTATATACACAAAACTGTGCTTAAAATTAAAGCTGTAAATTTTATTATTTGATTGAACAAATCAAGTTTAATTTACCTAAACATTAAAGCTCTTCTAATTGAACATCCTTGGCTTTTAAGGGAAGATAATGTTCAAGATAATCCTCAAGATGATCAGCCAATAAGGACCTGTCAATATTCTCATGGTGATATGACTTACAAACTAAGTAAATCACCGTCTGAGCAACAAGGCCGAGTAGAATCACCTTCAATAATAACAATGAACACAAGACTCCAATCCCAACCCTAATTCCCAAATTGAGTTCCAATCCGAGAACAACAAATTTCTCAAACAAAAATTCGATACCTAGAATCCAAACAACGAGCAGAACAAAAATGGAACCTGCAACTCCCATTTTACCCTTGATCAAATCATTGCTCTTCACCATTGCTCTAATCCCATAAACATTTTCCAGTACAGAAACCACACAAGCCAAATGCCATACAAGTGTGATATATACAAAACCCACCAAGTATATGATCAAAAGAGCAACGCCAATCATAATCCCAGATATGGAAACACCAATTAGAAATACCCAGATGAAGAACAAGGTTGCCGCAACAATGTTATACGCCAAAATAATGACAAAATTCCAAATGAAAGTGACCATGAGTCTCTTCCAAACCTTTGGCACCACAGTGATGATGTTCCTGAAGGTGATTGTTTTGGAGGTGTAAGCACAGGCGACGGTGTAAACAACGGCGGAGGTGGAGAGGAGGGAGAGGACGAAGAAGAAAGTGAAGTAAGCTAATTTGAAAAGCCAAAAAGCAGTCCAGTCGGATGAGATGACGCGGGAGAGCTTGGCGGAGTCAGGGGAACTGAGGGCGGTGGAGTTATTGAGGGTGGTTTGGTGGGTAAGGATGTTGAAGAAGAGAAGCTGAGAGATTTGGAAATGAGCTAAGAAGATGAAGGAGAGAGGGAAAATGAAAGCTAAGGTGATCTTGGTGAAGATTTTCTTCCATGAGAAGATGATTTTGATGGATTCTTTGAAGATCCCAGTGAAGCCAAGAAACTGGAGCTCTTCTTGGTCCATGTCCGTGGAGGAAGAAGAAGCAGGAGATGATGATGATTGATCTGGCTTACCTTGTTTTGGTGCTTAAGCTTAATTTTCTTCGTTAGATCCTTGTAATATAAGCTCAAATTAATGTGGACTTGGCATGATTTTTCACTTCATAATCAAGGAAGACTTGATTAGCTCATAATTTATATATCTATCTAAAGCAATGAAAATTAATTTTATTTTCAACTTTTGATGAAATTAAATTCAAAAATTAGAAATAAATATTTATTAGATATAATTGATGCGAGACAAATAATATTTTTAATGAGTTTGTTTATTAGTTTAATATTTTAAATTAAAAATAATTTATTATTAATGATTTTGTACCTATTAAAATTTTTATAATTATATTTTTAAATCAAATATTTATATAAAATAAAATAACTAAAAATAGAATCATATTTTCATAAGTTAACTGTCATATTTTTTTAATATTTCTCAAATGAATATAATAGTTGATAATTAATATTTTATTGTTTTATACTTTACATTATAAACATTTATTACTATTTAAATATAACATTATATTTTATATTGATAAGTTTTTTACAGAACAATTTATTAAATACTATATTAATTTATTTTAAAATTATTTTATTTGTATTTCTAAAAAAATGTTAAATTAATAAATTACTAAAAACAATAATATAATTATTAAATATATTATGCATGTACTATCCGAAACAAAAATCTTATCTTGTAATATCTATTATGAAATTTTATAATTACTTTTAGGGTTATTAAAAACTAAAAATAATTTTATTAATCACAACCCGACCCGGCCAACGCCAGGAACAGAACTCCTCAATCTACATGTCTCGTCTCTTCGCCCGACCTTTTCTGTCTTCGTCTCCTTCACCGTAAAACCCAGAATTTCAAACCCTCTCCCTCCGTTACTGGTTTACAGTACTGTGCTTTGTCATCAGTCCACCATCACAAGAAATCCTCTATCTCAGCAACTGCGTCGCAGCTGCTCCTGTTCTGCCACGCGCAATATCAGACACTGTCATCCCCGGCTGGACTTCCGCCTTGCTTTGATCTAAGCAAGCTGTCTATTTGGCACAGTTTTGTGTCCGCTTATTGGTCACTGTCGGCATTGCGAACTCCCTCAGCAAGGTCTTGGTGGTAACATTTCGTTTTTCTTTTGATTTTTACTTCTCTCTTTGTTTAAGTTCTCATTGTATGCCTGACGGATTTTACTATTGCTCTCTCTGGTGAGTTTTGGTTTTCTAATTGGTGTTTTATTGTGTGGATTTGTTGACTGGCGGCTGGGGATCTGATGTTCTTTGCATAAAATGGAATGTTGATTTGGCCTTGTTGTGTGGATGTAGAAGGAGAATTGAAGGCTAGATGTGTCTAATGCTTACAAATTGTTTGATGAAAGGTCTCTTAGATTTGTTTAACTTGTGGATTTTAATCTATTAATTCTTTCATTTGAATAGGTGACCTATTATCGCTTGTGTTTTCTACTTCGGGTTTGCAAAAATTAATTAAACAATTCACAGCTCCTAAGAAATTATTGTAGTGATAATTAAAAATAAGACATTTAAGTTACAATAACACATTATGTTAATATTCAGTCTATTACGTTATTTTAATGATTGTGTCTTCCTTGGTTTCATTGAGTTGTCAGACAAACACACTTCACTAGTATGAAACTATTTGAATGAATTCTTATGTTTTTCAATGAGGAACTTGTATTACTCTCATTTCTGAAAGGAAATTTTTTCTTATTGTTGATTTATAGGTATTATTTTTATTTTAATTATCGTCAGATGCCACTTTTTGTGCTGTGATACCCGGATTTCCAAGCATGTCATGGGCAAGTCTTTCTCGGAGAGGGCATCTCTTTCCTTATCTAAAACAATTACGGTGCACCACTTATCAGTCAAGGTGCTGTTTAACTCTAATCACCATAAAATTTTTCTAGTATCTCTACTTTGCTATTTTGACTTGTTATCAAAGATTTCTTTACTCTAGGAGAAGCTTATTGATCAAAGTTTGTCCATCTTGATGAAAGTTTCATGTCCTTGATCCAGGAGTGTAATTGATTTTCATCAGTCAAGTTATAACTTTATTGGACATGGTACTGAGTATTGCCAGAATTTCTATAATGATGTTTGGGGCCTGACAAGAAGACATGTATCTAGCACTGGTTTATTTAACAATTCTTATCGGTCTCAGCCTTTGGGCTCACAGTGTTTCTGGAAATGTTCTTCTATGCTTAATGTTCGGCGCCATTATGCTTCTCAAGCTTCCACAGAAAAAAAATCACAGAAAATGCTTTTATACCTCACTGCTCTGGTTTTTGCAATGGTGGGAAGCAGTTATGCTGCTGTCCCTTTGTACAGGAGATTCTGCCAAGCTACTGGATATGGGGGAACCATTCAGCGCAAGGAGGTAGTCCCATAGTTTGGTTCAATTTTATTTTTTTGTTTCTTTTTGCTCATCATTCTTTATGGCTTCATTGATTCACTTGCAAATTACACAAGACTTTATTGTCTTCAGAGTGTGGAAGAAAAGATTGCTCGACATGCGAAAGATGGAACAATCACAAAAAGGTGTGGGTTAAGCTCGTATAAATGCTTTCTTTGTTGATTATGATAATAGTATCTTCCTATATTTTTTAAACTATTTTAGTTATTTAACTTTCAATGTCCTTTCTAAATGTTTTGTCCACAAGTACATGCTTGCAAATTGAGTAGCCACAACAAAGTTTAGAAACTTTTCTCAATCAACTCTAAATTGAATCATTATTTTGATTACATCAAACCCAATTTCAATTTTGATCTTATTGAAACTTAAGCATGCATTTACTAAGGTGATCATGTAAATATAGAACTCAAAAAATCATATGAAAACATAAAACTTAAAAACTTTGAATTCATGATACATGTCTTGTAATTAAACTTTTTAAGCTTCTTCTAGGTCAAAATCCAAATATGATCTTCGAAACTCCTTGGAGAAAATTCCAAAAGAAAATGGTTTTTCTCATTTCTCTTTTCTCCTAGATCTTCAGCATTTGAGGGAGAAAATCTAGAGATATTTTTCTCTCTTGTTTTCTCACTAGATGGCTAAATCTTTCCCCTTACGAGACCAATGTCTTCATTATTTCTTTTGAGAAAAAAAAAGTTCTAAATTAAGATTCCTTCTAATTTTTGCACACAACCTAGATAATTTTCCCTAATTTCAAGAACTCTTCTTAATGCTTTGAGTGAATAAACCTAAAGCCAAGAGTGCTAGTTAATGAGAGAAGCATTTTCTATTTTGACACTCAATGGAGGGGGTGACTATCAGCATAAGAAGATGGAGAAAGAGAGACTTGGAAGAACCCTAGCATATGAATCGCTCATTTTTTCAATGGGAAAAATGACCTTAAAATTGATTTTTCCATGCTATGCATGGGAGCAAGAGGAAAAATTCTGGCTACTTTCATTTGTACCATTTCTCCAAACACCAAGGTCTAGATAGAATTAAATTACCAAAAGCTAATCTAATTAGACTTAGGCTAGTATGGTGGGTAGGATAGGGTAAGGGCTGGATAAGGTCCCTTCTCCTATTCTATTATACTCTATGTTTGGGAGACAAATCTTTTATGAGCAGGGTAAATGATTACCCACACGATATCAGTAGTGTTATTCACTTAATGTGAGGTGAATAAATTTTACTTACCTGGGTAATTTTAGAAAAAATTTCAAAAAGTACACCATCTTTTTTCTTCTACCTTAGTTTAGCATGAATATACCCTT